GAAAGAGGCAATGATAGAGTGGCCTTTCCCTGCTAACAGTCCAGATTCTAGTCATTGACATTTGGGGGACTTTCTGAAGAGGCTGTAGCTGGACCTGTGCTTAGATGCCACCGTCCGTTGGTCTGGAAACCTCCCTGAACACCAAGTTTTGTCCTTCCAGACATCCTGTGCTAATAATTTCCACAATTTGTTTAGACACAGCATGAAAAAGCATGGTCTTTTTGAGGCCAGAACAGTATTTTCTGTTATCTCTGTGCCTTTCCTAATGCATTCCTGTCTTCTAGCTCCCTCCTTGACCACTGCAGAGCACAAAGCTGATCTTTGCAGAAAACTTTTCACAGGAATTCCAAAATCTTTTTCCTGTGAGCTATTTTACAGCTTGTCATTGCATATGGGTAGTTAGGCTTACTCTACTGTGAATTCCTCTGTACTTATTGACATTGATTTTCATCTGCCATTTTATCACTCAGTCATTCAGCATCCAGCCAGACAAGAAAGCTCCAAATTTGGATTCCTTTGGCACCTATTTTTTTACTTAAAAGGGTTTTTCCCTCCCTTTTTTTTCCCCTAAGTAGAGCTACATGTGCAATGCAATCACTTTTAGCAGTTCGTCTTCTAGAACAAACCCACCGTGTCCCAGTAGCTATTTGCAGCGTGACATTGTGCTGTCACCTCCTCACACTACAAGGTCCTGACATTTCAAGCAAATGTCATCGCGTCACAATTTTCTATATCAGTACAACTCACTGGTGTGATGCACGTCGTGCTACAAGCCCTTGTTTCTTATGGGACCTCCAGCTACCCAAGAGGAGCCGGCATGATTTCATAAAGTATGTATTTCATATCTCAGCGCTTAAAGTTTGGATCTGCAATGCTACCTGGGTAGTGGCAGCAGATGTTTTCTCTCAGTAACTGTGAGATTGAACTTCGAGCTGTGTGCTGGAAATCTTTAATTCCCTTATGTTCCTATGGAAACATGAGAGGAGCCTTCTGCCAAAGCAAGCCAAGGCCTTTGGCTTTACACGCGTAACATGTGAATTACCCATTTCTGTGCCCATTTGCAGGAGCCAGCTCCCAGCACTGGGACTGTGCCATTTTCAGAAAGGAGACACAGAAAGGTCCAATCTAACCTCCACAATCTGCTGCAAAGAAACCATGAGATGGTTCTTGCCCTCTCTGCAGAAGTCATCCATCCAAAGACACTCGTCTCTGGGAGAGTTGGATTCCTTTCCGTAATTAGATTTTATTCCAAGACAATCAGCTAAAGTCAGGAAGGGATTGAAGCTGTTGCCATGTGAGGGGCATGTGCAAATGGGAATTTAGGGCTTTGACAGACTGAAAACTCCGTTAGCCTGCAGAACATCCTAGGAAATGCAAGGCAATTGAGATTGCTTAGTCTCCGTGAAAGAGGGATAAGCAGAGAAGTGCTCTGTGATAAGAACACATGCACATGCCGTTGCCCTGGAGCAGGATGATAAGTGGTAACTTTGCTATCCACTTTAACTTATTCAGGTATGCAAGCTCTTTGTCTAAGCTGGAATGCAAAATAAAGTTGTGCTCTATCAACTGATCAGAGCTGGCTTGAGAGCCAAAGTACATACAGGTTATTATTACTGTAACTGATTAATCAGACCAGCCATCAGACCTCAGCACTGAACACCGTGAGCAACTGTCAGCACACACTTCTGATAAGTCCAATCCAATACATACGGAACTCGCTAAGAGAGAAAATTCTGACTCATTTAAAATCACATTATCCAGCCTGCCACCCTTCACTGGCTTTTGGCCTGTCACACAGACTAATGGACAGGCGCCCTGAAAAATACTCGTTGTGAACCTGGGAATGGGTAAGAGCCTCTTGTGTTTGACAAAAGCCAATTAAAATCAACTAAACCTTCTATTATGCGTCTTCTGAAAAGGCACATCTACCATATTGCTTAAAGAGCTCAGTTGTATTCCTGGTTGTCAAGCAAACACCAACGAACATTAAAGAACTTGCCATTCGGCCGGCAAAATAATTAGAGGAGCAGTAACCTTCAACAGCAGACACCAGTGACAGGTGACATGTGCCAGTATCCTGGGTGACTCATTGAGCAGGGCACCAACAGGGGCACAATGCTGACAGATCTCATGGCTCAACTTCCAGAAAGCCATGGATGCCAGTGAGATATTGACGCTTATACCGCCAGATCCCTCTGCAGCTTTTGACAAAGTTCTAAGATACAACTGATGTGTTTATATTGTATAGTGAGAACAAATGGCAACCACTGCTGTAGCTTCTCCCGTGGTGTTCAGATACACAACAGGTACCTGCTGCTCCTCTTCGAGGTTCTTGTTTCGTGGTCCTGCAAAGATCAGTCCTATCTTGGCATGAATTAAACACAGGTATTGGAATGTAGGACTAGAAGCAATATTTTGGATAATTTAGTTCTGTCATCCATTATCTCAGCAATCCTGCCATATAATCCCCTCCAAAATTAATGAACTTCATCGTAAAAGCAGCAAGTAATTTTTTTCCTCACTGCCCTAGAGGCTATTCTGAAACCTCACTGCTCTGATGGTCAAATATCCAATCCAGGTCAAAACAATGCCCTTCAGACAGGGAGATGCTGCAAAGAACAAAGGAAAATGCTGTTTTTACCTCCTAGCAAAAATACACAGCTCCCATTCAACTCAGTGATCTGAAACATCAGTTCCCTGACTCCTAATTGACTTTGAATCAATAGGTTGCAACTCTGACTGAATCCCTTCCTTTACCTCAACTCAACGGAGAAGTTTATTCTTTCTCTCAAACAATGACTTAGTCCTGAGGTTTTCTTGCCATTACTTCCAGGCTAGATTATCTTCTGTGGATTTCTGTATGACCAAATATGATATGTTTTTCCACGTATCATCCACCTCTGTGGCTTCCAGCCCATGCAATAGTTACAGTGCTGGCTGAAGTCCATGCTTTTAATTGCCAAAGCAATCAGGGGATTAGTCCCTGCTACATGAAAGTCTCAAATTTCTGATCTGTGAATTGCTGCATCTGTGCTTCACAGCATAGCTCACAGTGGATGAAGACTGAGGGTAAATGTTTCAAACAAGGGGATCTGGCTGTAAAACAGCATTTTGGAGAAACACAAGATCTGATCGCTTCTCAAAAACATTCTCAAAGCTTTCTATCTGAAACAGATTTTCCATCATTTCTGTCACTATGTTGACAGCCAAAAAAAAATATTATAGTGAGGATTCATCTCACCAACTTTATCTGTCTACAGTATAAATGTTTCCTTTGGTGATATTGGCTGTACTCTCCTTTTATAGTCAATGGGGAGGAAAAGGTGTTTCTATATAATCTCTTATGGGTATCTGCTTTAGGGTGATATGAATTGCACCCTAGAAGTAGATATTTCTCTCCACTGATTGGAAAAGCTCCAGATATTTGCTTGGATGCACAATGCAGATGCCTGCTTTTTGCCAAGTGATTGCTAGCAAAAAAAAACAAAAGGAAGATCCTAATATTCATATATTCATATATTCCAAGCAGAATTTTCACTTGCATAGAAAAGGGTGTTACAGGCTTCTACATTCTTTTACTGTTCCTTTACATTCTTTGAGTGTCTTGAAGACACTCAAATATTATGCTGAGCAGCATTCTGCCACCGTAGGGTAGATGAGATGGATGACTCCCTTAGTATCTGTGGAGTTATTTTTAATTTATACTAGCATAAAAGAGAGGTGAATGGGGCCCTTAACTTCTTATTCCTGCCTTAGTCATGGACTTTCTCTGTGACCTTGTGAAAATTGCTTTATCTGTTATTTTCCCGATATGTAAAATTAAGATGATCACACTCACAGACCGCTATGAGGTCTAATTAGTAAGTGTAAAGCACCATGAAATCCTCTGATGGAAGATGCAGAGTATAGCTAGCCTGGGATAAAGAGGATTAAAGGAGGTTGTGCTAACACAACAAATACTTGAGAAATGATGCTTTGGGGGAAGTGAAATGGCACATATCTGCAGGTGAGGAAAGGCAAATCAGCAGTCTAGCTGTTGGCAGCAGACCTCAAATCCACTGACAGGAGTATGTCTACAAAGGAAGTTTGGACAATGAAACAGTGTTCAGAAACAGGTGAAATATTATAGGTTAGTAGGATTATCCTAGGAAAAGCCCTTCCCCATTTTTCCATCTGGAATTTGACTGACCTGATGGATCTTTCACAGCTTTTCTCAGCGCCATTTCTGAAAGGTTCACCAGTGTAACATTTTCATGTACCTGGCTTAATATTCATACCAAGAGCAATAACACTATGTTTCTGAACATGCAAGACACGTAGTTATTAGAAAACCTTTTCCTTTCAGTGGTTCACTGAATGCCATGCCCTTTTCCAGAAGCGAGCAGGGATTTCTAAATTGCATCTTGTGCCCATTGGAAGTGCCTTCGGTGGGATGGTGCCAGTTCAAAGCCCCTGATAACCAGGACTCCCACATGTCCAACTCTCATCTCATCCCTTTTGAATGCCATAAAATACATTGCTCCCAACCAAACCAGCAGTCTTACTCTTGTATGAGCGTCAAACCAGGCCTCATCTTCCATTCATCTCATAATTGTCAGGTTGCCATTCCTTTCTGACTGTCTTGCTCCCTCCCCAGGCATCACCGTGGACAAGTTTGGGCTGATTTACTTTGTGGATGGTACCATGATCCGGCGGATTGATCAGAATGGGATCATCTCAACTGTGTTGGGTTCCAATGATTTGACGTCTGCTCGGCCTCTCAGCTGTGACTCTGTCATGGACATTTCTCAGGTGAGACAATGTTTTGGTTGGATTTCTACAGAATAAAAGCCTATGCCTTCACCCTGTCTGCATGTCTGTGTGCCTCCCCAGGTTTGACAAAGAGGTAAGGGCTCAAGGAGAATTACATCTCCACATATTTTGTGGTATGAAAATGACTGGGTCAAAAAGAAAGATCCTATAAAGACTGAAGGAAAGACCTAACTGACCTAACTCAGAGATCTCTGGGGAGAGAGATTTTAAAGATGTCCCAGCCACAGAAGAGACTTCTTTCAGAGCTCCCGATCAGCTGAGAGACACAGATTCCTGGGAAGGCGGGTTTCATTAGGCTCATTTCTCAGGAAACAAGTTGCTTTAAATTAAAAAGGCCAGACAGCCTTAGTCATTTTAGTAGGGCTATATGCCATGCTCTGTTATAACAGCTTAGCTAACCATGGTGTTTTTTCTTTGCTTCCCCCCATCCTAATTTGGCCCAGCACAATTTTAGACCTGAATCAAATTAGCATCTGGGAAATACTGATTGGAGGTTGTGGTGCCAAAATTAGCAACAGCAGGAAAACAAGAATCTTGAATTGCATCAGATGATTGCAAATTGGTTGCAGCTACCATCATGCTGGGCTTTTAAGTCCTGCTGCTTAAAGGTGGAGAGAAAAAAAAAAAAGAGAGAAAAAGAAATCTCAGTTTGATGATTGCTTTACTTCTGGGTGGCGCAGAAGTGAAATCTGTTACAGCCCACCATTCGATTTTGTGGGACGCTGGCCAACCTGTCAAATTGTGCCAGTTTAGAGATAGTGTCTTTTGAAACCTTCGTGCCACTTGTTGTTTGCCTGGCTACAGGAATGTTGCCCTCTCCTATGAAAATATAGATCATAGCTGGAGGGCTAAGTACTGTTATTCAGCCACAATAGATGTCAATGGGGTTTCCTTTTTGTAACTACCTAGATAATTTCCGTGCTCCCATATGGAATCTGTTCTTCTTGTTTTTCCCTCTAATTTGAACAGATTATTCTTGCTTCTTTGTTAATGGTTCCCACTGTCCACAATTTATGAACAAGCTGAAATTATGAGTTTAAAAGCCCACATGCCTTTTATAGAAGCAAATTTTGCTGGTTAAAGGCCATCTTGTAATATGTTTCTCATCTTACAGGCATAGTTTTTCTTTATCTGAATTTCAGGGGCAGTTACCACAAGACCATTGTGGATATAGGCTTTAAAAATTATTTTCTCGCAGGTTACATGGCTTATATGTTTACCAATGTCATATTTAAACACTTCTGAGATGAGTTAAAATGTATCAGCTGAAGACTCTTTCTTTCCCTTCATAAAAAGACAGAAGCCATTTTTAGATTAACCTGTACTGTGATGGACAGCTTAACCGGTACTGTTCTGGACAGACACACCAAAGACAAGTTTAATTTAAAAAAAAAAAAAACCAAACAAAACAACCCAAACCAGGCAAAGCAAACCCAGCTTGGGAAGTAGCTTTTCACCATGTACGGTGGCTAGAAGGGTCTTTTCTGTCAGGTCCCTGAGGCTCCCTGGGACATGAGGACATGAAATATTTAGCTGCCAATGTTGTCAAGGAATGGTTTTTAAGAAATTGAAAATTCCCTTGTCAGTTCTGAATAAACTCTGCTCTTGATGCTAACTCGAGGCTGCGGAGCTTACAGACCACTGGAAGGGATGGAGGCATGCATTATTAAAGAGAAAACCACAGGCTATAATGTTTTACTACAGGAAGGGTTAAAATAGGCCAGGAGCTGAGAAAAGGAAGATTTTGTGAACAGAGAACCAGAGCAGACAGAGCTCAGCACACTGCTTAACCATGAAAATAAGCTCCACAAGCACAGCCATTAGAAGGCACAATGAACTGAATACCTTGTATCTGATGCTCTTTAAAAAAAAAAAAAAAGTTGAAAAGGGATTTAAACATGAATAGAAGCATCAAAAGTAAAGTATGACTGTGGCAGAGGTGTTCAACTACAGGCTTTAAAAATACAAATCTCCTGTGTGCCTCTAGATCTTACCTGGTTTCTTCTTGTTCTTGGATTTAAATAAAACCCTGAGAGATGGTTTGCTGGACTTGAGCCTGCTGGCTTCTCCTTCTCCTCCTTCCAATCAGGTTGCCACCTTATAGATGCAAAATACCCGCCCCAAACAAATGAGAAGAAGCAGCAGCTGAGATGCATGGTGGGAGAAGAAGGTTTGAAACCAAGAAACAGCTGGAACTGCACAGCCTTGAGTGTGCCCAGATCGCAGTGCTCTCAGTCCCAGCACATCATGCGGTTGGGTACAGAGAAAAAAACACATGGGTGCAGGGAGAATGGCACAAAGTGGCCAGCTTCTCATTAACCGCTAGATATGAAATCCATCTACTCTAACTTAGAGTTGCCTGGATGACTGGAAGGCAGTATACAACCAGACTAGCTATTCTTTCTAACTCGTTGAAAATCTATTTAAAAGCCTGGCTGGAGGTGACCAAGAGCATTCTTCACAGTTGTTCGTTTCCAGTCACCCTTCACACCTCTACTATGGGGAAGATGCACCATTAGGAAAACATTTAAGCATTGGTTGATTCCCATCAGCACAAAGTTGACTTTTTATTTCTATATAAACCTGAAGTAAAATAAAATAATCCAAAAAATGTACACCTCACAGGTCTTTATAAAAAAATTAAATTACCCTGAATTCTGTTGGTAAATGTTTCTTAGGTTTGGCAACTAAAAGAGTAGACTCACTTGAAAAGACAGTATATTGCAGAAGTAGAGCTAGAAATAGAGACCTTCTAGTGCTCACTCACTTGTGGCGTTACCAATCACTTTTTCAGTTTATTTGTGTATATGGACTATCAGTGTAGAACTGTCATGTGTCACTGCTACTTGAACCTATTCTTCCATTATACTAAAAAAACTGTGAAAACCACTGTGAAGACACAAGTATTTTTTTCCACGAATTGAAATTGCCTGAATTTCTTGTGAATTGCTATTTTGCATTTTTGCAGCATCAAGCAATCGGTGGTTATAACTTAGACATACACACATGCTGACACAGCTGCCAGTTTTCTGTCTGTCCCTCCTTGTCATTTACCCAGAGGAGCTCGGCCACTTGTCTGGAAAATTCTTTAGTAAAAGGATCATTGTTTTGTTGGACTGATTTCATAGCAATTCATACAACAAAATTCCCAGTCCTGGGTCTCTGCTATCAGGTCCAGGCTCCATCAATTCAAAAAGCATAGGATTGTTTGGTGAGAGGAAATCCCCCATGAATCTTTGGATCTTCTTGTTTACTCCTGCATTCCCCGGGCACTGATGCCCCTTCCCACAGCCCCTGACACCTCACAGCAAGGTGGAGAAGCAGAGAGAAGCCATGGTGCAGAGCAAGAGCTGAGGAGGGTCTGCCTCTGTCCATCACCTTACTCCCACCACTGCTGCAATGCAGAGTGTGGGTGTCCACATGTGTCTACTTCATGTGACCAGGAGCTAAGCCCTCAACTCACACCAGGCTTGTGTCCCCTATGGCCACCGTATCAAGCAGTAATAATTAGTTGTGTTTCTTTTACCCTTTCTCCCTTTAATCCATGTTGAAACATCCTCATTGTGATTCATTTATAGCAATCATGCAGTGAAAAAAGGTCTTGCTATAATAATTTCCTTGTGTTGTTTTACCATTAAGGTTCGTCTAGAATGGCCTACAGATCTGGCAGTCAATCCGATGGATAATTCGCTGTATGTGCTCGACAATAACGTTGTGTTACAGATATCTGAGAACCACCAAGTGCGCATCGTGGCGGGGAGGCCCATGCATTGCCAGGTGCCAGGCATGGATCACTTTCTCCTTAGCAAGGTGGCAATCCACGCCACCCTGGAGTCTGCTACCGCCCTGGCCGTCTCACATAACGGGGTCCTATATATTGCTGAGACTGATGAGAAAAAGATCAACCGCATCAGGCAGGTCACCACCAATGGAGAGATTTCTCTCGTTGCCGGAGCGCCAAGCAGCTGTGACTGCAAGAACGATGCTAATTGTGACTGCTTCTCGGGGGATGATGGCTATGCCAAGGATGCCAAACTCAACGCGCCATCCTCCCTTGCGGTGTGTGCAGATGGGGAGCTGTATGTCGCTGATCTTGGAAATATCCGAATCCGCTTTATTCGGAAAAACAAACCATTCCTCAACACGCAAAATCTATATGAGTTATCCTCCCCCATAGACCAGGAACTCTACTTGTTTGACACCAGTGGTAAGCACCTTTATACTCAGAGCCTTACCACTGGAGATTATCTTTACAATTTTACTTATTCCGGAGATGGAGACATAACCCTGATCACTGACAATAATGGCAACTTAGTGAATATCCGAAGAGATTCCACAGGGATGCCCCTCTGGCTGGTAGTGCCTGATGGCCAAGTCTACTGGGTGACAATTGGTACCAACAGTGCGCTCAAGAGCGTAACAACACAGGGGCATGAAGTGGCCATGATGACGTACCACGGCAACTCCGGTCTTCTTGCCACTAAAAGCAATGAAAATGGTTGGACAACTTTTTATGAGTAAGTATATTATGAATATTGTGCTGCTGACTTCATTCTGTGGTCTCTGAACTATGCAATGTTGAGAGAATTTAATTCCCTGGACGGAATTATTGTCCAAATAAAATGGCCAGAATAGAGACTATTAGATCTCACACAAACACTAAATACTAGAAGTAAGTGCATTAGAGTTTGAATAAGCTCCCTCTACCAAAAGTCAACAGTCAGACAGAGTTTCTACTGAGTTTTTCTAAATCAGCTAAGTAATTTGGACACCTGGTTCTCCTTAACTGTAGTCAGGACTGGGGATTTAGGTTGCATGTCAGAGAATTTTGCTTGGCTTTGAAAGCCTTGGAAGTGTGAAAGTTCCTCAGATCCTCTTTTTCACAGGTTTTCACCTACTTCCTATGCTGCAGTGTGTTTTTTTGAGCTTGTTTGAAATGGGTGATGTAGAATGACAACTGACAATGACTAATGATAGCTTGCTCAAAAAATGATTCTGTAATTAATGGACTGCTTGGTTTCTATTGTTGTAATTGGCCTCACTAAGCTTTAAAAATAGTCTCAGAACTGTTCAAGACCATGCCTGTCCCAAAGAATTTTTTGAGCAGAGAGAAGACAGGATGCATTGAAAAACGCAGAGATGGCAGTGACTTGAAGATTTGTACTTGTTTTCTGTATTACTGTTAGCAATTCCCTGCTTATAAATACCATGAAGACAACACATTTCTGGTATCAAATAGGAAAAAGATAGATAACTCAGTGAAGGGCATCTAGAAGGATGGTTTGCAAATTCATCCTGCCATTGAGAACCCTTTCCACTCCCTCTTCCTTAGTTTCATTTTTATTTTCAAGTCTAACCTCTCTGAAATGCTCCTTTTAGTGCATAATTTCCCATATGGTTTGAATGGTTACATAGAAGTGTTCAGCTACCATAATAACAGACCCATTGTAAGAGTCCAATTTGGCTAGAATAGACAGTTCCCAAGATTACAAAGAAAAAACTGTAAAAAAAAAAAAAAAGAGACTCGGGGAAGGAAAGCTGGCTAAACCCACATATTGGTGTGTTAGACATGCAGTTGCTTTGCTTCTTTCTTTAAAATGTTCCAGGCCCAGTTTCAAATTTCTTTGCTTAATACTCACTATTTCTGCTCCTGCCTCAGAAAGAACTGATGGAAACTCTGTGATGAATCTTTTGAAAGGTTATTTGCATTCCATCAATGTTCTGCTTGCAATTACTATAGCAATATTCCTCAGTGAATCAAAGTTAATACCCTTCCATCTCTTACATTGAATTTGCTTGAGGGAGGCTTTAGGGAGGAAAGATAGGGTGTTTTTCTCTATAGGAGTAAAGCCTGCTATATTGTCGGGACCGTCGTGCTAAATCAAGGAGGTATTTTCTTTTTGCAAAGAACCCAATAGTTCCTGTGCTTGAAAACAGATGTAGCCATGGACAGTGAAGCAAACTAAACGTTACAGCTAATAATGGTCAGATTTATACCTCAAACATATTCTTTTATTTAAAAGTGTGACTGAAAATATAAAGGAGATAAAATGAGACAGAAGCCAACTTACTCTGTGGATATATTTATAACAGTGATCCATTATTTCTTGCTATCCAACCAAATAGAGCATTTGTGAAAGTCATCATTCTGGTCCTTTTACGCACTTCATAAGAGTCATAAGAAAGCTTTTTAGAGCTAAATGGAAGACAGTATTCTCCAGTGGTTAGACTACAGAAATCTTGACTAGGGCAAGTCAGCACTATATGATAGCACAGCATCACTGAAAATAGAATTGGGAATGTGTCTTCAGAGATATCTCATCCAAACCCGTGATCAGTTATCTCTATTTAACTGCTCCTGACAGATTCTGATGCAACTTTATACAACTACAGGGTAAAAGTCTATATCTGAATTAGTTACCTCAGCCTCACTTCATAGGCAATGGAGAGAAACAGGGACTTTCAAGGTGAGTTTCTTATGAGTTATGTCAAGTATCTGCTTTAGGATGAGATAAGACAAGTTGTATTCTGAGAGTTTCTCTCTGTAAAGGTAGTCCAGAATGATTAGCTCGCATACAGATGTTTACGTTGCAGATGTCTACAATTTGGTCAAATGGATCCTGTCAAAGTCATCTAAGTTATTCATAAATATTGCTAGTGATAACAATGTATTTACCTATCTTACTGTTATTGTTAGAAAGCTTTTTTATATGCTCAATCTAAATCTTCTTTGCTTGAATCGAAGACTGTCATTCTTCATCCTATCCTGTTCTATCCTGTCCTGTCCTGTCCTATCTGATCCTATCCTAACCTGTCCACTAGGGACTTGGAAAGCAGATCAGTCTGCCCTTCTTCTCAGCTGTGAAAAGTACATACCAAATGGCTCAAGAACTTGCTCTGTGATAGCTCTCAAAAGGTAATCAGCAACAGGGAATCATCCGATGGGGTTGTTTTGGGTGAATTGGCAGGGATTGATTCTATACAGGTTTCACATGCATAATCTGGGAAAAAAATATAAAATCAGTACTGATAAAATGAGATTAGTAAATAAAGGTAAGATACTTAGATTGCTTGATAAAGTAGGTTTTGTTTAAACAAAATATGTTCTTACACAGTCTAATTCCAGGGTACACATGTAACAGGCCACATCTAAAGAACTGGGCTGAGCATTGACTCTCAGAGGTTGTAGTGAGCAAAGCATAAAGTCATCCAGTGTGATTCTCAGCATACTTCCATGGCAAATCTGTCTAACTTGTTGCTTGGATGGACAAACAAAATGAATACATTTACTCATCTCACTCTACTTGCAGTGGGTAGTGCGAAGCTGATTTTATCCCTCTACAGCATTGATGAGACTGATACTGTCAGTTCTGATGTTTGCATTTTATGAAGTACAGTGAAAATTGAAGGCTGTACAGAAAAACACTACAAAAATGCATTCATGGGGAGAAAGTGCTTTATACTGGAGAACTAAGAAGACTTGGTCTATTTGTCTTAACATGAAGAAGACTGGGAAGTGTCTAGATCACAGCATGTCAGCACAAAACTACCATCTACAGAGGGACTCTTAATCTAGCAGAGAAGGGGTTGAGAAGGGTAAGGGGCTGGAAAGCAAAGCTAGAGACATTCAAGTTGACAGGAAGGCATAATTTTTTAAGGCTGAGATTACCTAACTGCTAGAGCAACCAACTATGAGAAGCAGTATGTTCTCCATTTCTTGGTATCTTAGATCATGACTCTGGATGCCTTTCTTAAGATACATTCTCACCAGACAGAATATTTGCATGAGTCAAACACAAACTGCAGGGATGAGTGCAGGCATGTCAGGATGAAATTTAAGTTCTTTGATATCCAAGAAGCCAAAGAAGATGGTGTAAACCAAATCAGCATTCAATATCTTTGAGTTATTGGTTTCTGTATCAGAACATCAGGAAATTTACATTGGGGAAGTTTAAGTGATTTAGAGAAATCCTGTGATCATGAGCTACTGGAACGTGCTCTGCGTAGTTTTCAGTCTTGGCTGAGGGGGAAGGTGAAGCTCATATTTCTGTTTTGCTCGTGGCCAAGGAAATAAAGACATCAAATCTGACTCTGAGGAAAAGCTTCATGTTTCTCACAGCACATAATAGTTGTTTATGGGCCAGGGCAGGCTGGACACCACTGTTTAAACAGTTAAGAGTAAACGTAAATTCAGCTGGCAAGTTTACACTGCACCAGTGGCCCCATGAAGAACATCTTTATAAGATTTACCTTTACCTGACTGTCTACAGAGGACCATAAACCAGACACCCAACATGAAAGAGCAATGGTATTGCAAGACTGGCAACACTACATGTGTACATGTCCACCATCTCTGGTTCTCCTTCAGTTGTTGCTCTTAGCAGGGCATTTCTTAGCCTTTATCTTAAGGCTCAAAGAGCTGTGACATGTGGCCACGTTGGCGTGACTCTGCAGAGGAGAGAAGGAGGTGGGATACATTGACGCAGCACTGGAAGTCTATCTCCAGGCCGCACCAGGGAATCCAGGTCCTCCAAGGGTTCAGGCTGGGCTGGCACATTGTCCCTTCATTTCTGTAGGGGAAGGAGGCAGGTGCTGTCTTCAGGTGGTGGCAGACTTGCCAACAGAACTTCCAGCTCTTCCTTTCACGCATCCTACACCAAAGCCTGCTGTGACAATCCTGCTTTATTGGGTTTAGCGCTGAGTAAGGTTCAGTATATAATGCTGTGCAGTTTCCCTTTCCTTTTAGAGTGAAACTTAACTCCTGAAGTAATTAGCCTGTCCCCCAAAGGCCTATCTGAGACTTCTTTGAGGGTTTTAGCATTATACAGACCTTCTCTGCCTCTACAGAGAGCTTGACATTCGCTGTCAATTAACGCAATGCAGCTCAGCTTGTCCAGTAACTGGATTAAAGACTTGCCTTCCCGATGAACCAGTGACAGTGATAATCAGCAGCAAAGAAAGTTGATCTGGAAACTCTGCCAGGGGAATGGCTTCTTGTTGTTCAGCTCCTCAAATCAAAGACAAACAATGCTGTGTGACTGCTTGCTTCTTTGTTGTTGCTGCTTTTTCACTTGACCTGAAAAAATTGCTACCAGCCTTTACAAAGTTTCCTGGCAGTTGCTGTTTATCTACTTCAGAATCCGGAAATTCTTATTAATGTATTTGTTTAAATCAAGAATATGGCAATTATCTTGATTAGCTCATTGAGATGGTATCACTGTACGCTAATTCAATTTCCCTCTGAGCCAAAGTCAAACCTTCTATGCATTATTTAGCCCAGATGAGGCTCTTTCGCTTAGGTCCTTTGTGTGCCCAATTAGTTTCAAAGGTCACATCCTCCCGTACGGAATGAAATACTTACACATCACTGCAGCCAAACCCAGAAATTCAAAACCTTTTCATGGACTGCCCAAGAAGTGGCTCACAGCTGCCTGGAGGGCAAAGGGTCTCGTGGAGCCAGAGCTGTAGATGGGCGGTAAGGAGAGCTTTGACCCGTAACACAGAATGCCGTTTTACA